CACGCACATTTCACAAGCTGCAAACGTGGTGTTAATTTGGCTTTGTTTGGGGCTTAAATTCGTATCGTTTTTGGGTTTTATCAAAGGGTTTGTATCAATAGACATTTGCGGATAATGCGTGCCGCAGGTGCAACTGCGTTTTAAATATAACAAAACGCGCCAATGCAAATATTAATTAGGAGCAAATAGCACACGAACAAGTCTCTCAAATATTCGTACATTTAGTACATTTGTTTGGTTTTATCATTCGCAGCTCCAACTGTTATCATCTATCTCTATCTCTGTCTAGATATCTGCCGCTCTTTCTTGCCTGTGCCGCATTTAATCAGATGCGCATTTTATGGCATCAGGTGAGTTTTGCGCAACGGTTTCGCCTGGAATGCGTAGCTCTCTATAATGCGGGTCAGCCCGCGTCTCGAGATACAAAAGTATCTCAATTGTTTACATAATCGATTGCCACAGAATGCGGCCTGCCATGTGCCTTGGCTCTTGTGTAGAACACAAACCAAATTAGGCAAACACTTTGAATATGTAAAAAAAAGTGTATTTCTGGCCTTGGCTACGCTTTGGCATAGTTCCTACAAAACCACAATCTCTCTTATCACCGATTGCAGAGTCACAGTTACGCTGTGAATGTGCGTGCTTGATAAGGTATTTTGGCTATTCTCCTTGGCTTGGTATCTGTTAAATACATACATATATCTGTTCGATCTGCAGATATAACCTATATCTCAATTATCTTTCATATTGTAAACTGTGTGCATTGATTTTCCACAGAATTTGGCAATACATTTGTTTACTTAGCATGTGCCACACAAATATTTGAAATTCGCTGCGAATCTTAGGAAAATGTTTTTCTAGAAATATTTTCATTAGCTAAGCTATTAATTTCGTTCTTTTTTGTAAAGCTTACGAATGTTTAGAAAGGGAAATTGTTAAAGGTAAAATGTGAGAAAGATGAAAAAAGAATGAAATAAAAATATATAAATAAAACTAACAATAAAGAACAATAAATAAAGCTACTTCATGCAATTGTGCAACTCATTTTTCAAATATCGTAATGCTCTGCTAAATATCGTAAAATAGGCCCTAGACCGTAAACTGAATGCACTTTGTATTCAGCCTACTTTTAGATTTTATTATTTATTTTATTATTTTAAATAGAAGCAGAAAATTGTTAATGTTGAGTGGAAGAGAGCTGGAAAAAAGGCAAAAGGATAAAAATTAATAAATAAAGCTTGAAAATAATTACATGCAACTCATGATTAAGCACGCTTATTAGTTTGTCAAATATCGTAATGCTCTGCTAAATATCGTAAAACAGGTCCTAGATCGTAAACTGAAAGCATTTTTTATTCAGCCTACTTTTAGATTTTACTATTTTAAATAGAAGCAGAATTATGCGAATTATGCAACTCATTTATTTGTCAACTATCTTATTATTTGTCAAATATCGTAAAGCTCTGATAAATATCGTAAAACAGGCCCTAGACCGTAAACTGAATGCACTTTGTATTCAACCTACTTCTAGATAATATTATTATTTATTTACTTTTAAAATTTATTATTACAATATTTAGTATGTGTTTAGTATGGAATATTGTTCATGTTGAGAAGAGAGATGGAGAAAAGGAAAAATAAAGCTCGACAATTATTGCATGGGAATTATGCAACTCACGATTAAGCACGCTTATTTATTTGTCAAATATCGTAATGGTCTGATAAATATCGTAAAACAGGCCCTAGATCGTAAACTGAATGCAGTTTGTATTCAACCTACTTCTAGGTAATATTATTATTTATTTACTTTTTAAACTTATTATTTCAATATTTAGTATGTGTTTAGTATTGTTTGTGGGCAACTCCGCAAGTTTGTTGTTATTTTCCGAGGTCTCATGTGCGCCCTGCTCTGCCTTTGGCAAGCTGTAAACCTGTTTCGAGCCGCACAATTTCCATTCACAATAAAATGTTTTCCGCTCGCGTGTTTCGGCCAATTCGAGTCTCGTGCCTATTGCGCAGCTTTGTCAACGCTCTAATCAATTAATGGAAAGGTTCAACGGTTCAATCAAATACAATTAACTAAATTATAATCGTAAACAAATCAGTAAATATACATCTCTATATATATGTATATGTGATAAAAATGTTGGAATTTTTGGCAGTTATCTCTGCTTGGCACAAACAGTTCAATTAATACCCCAAAAGACGTCAGATACAAAAACCAAAATACATTAATTATGGACATTTTTTCAGCCGAAAAAAACTCTAAAACAAAAGCTGTTTATAGATGTTAGTCTTCCTAAGTAGTTTGTGGGAAATATCTGGGAGTAATTTTTGTGTTTTTTTTTTGTTAACTCGGTGAATCCCTGTTGTATATAAACTGGGCTAATAAACGAAATGAGCTCTGTTATCGCGTGCCGCAGACTCTTTTGTATATACATATAAATACTTGAAAACAATTTCCACAGAAATTCCCAGCGATAATGCACAGTCGGGCATATAAACCGTGTTTGATAAGCCCTGGCTTTTTATTATAGTATTAATGTATTATATAGTATTTGTTTTTATGTGGAATAAAATGTCAACAATTCAAATGCAAATGTGATTTTTTATTAAATAATAATATTATGCATTTACAGCTAAAAACATGTTTGTGCGCGCAAATGGAAATCCAAATCAAAATAGATAGTAACTAAAACAAGACTGCAAACTACGTATGTTCTGTTGACATGCACTAGACCCGGGTTGGGGCTGGGGTCGCCCGGCTGGCCGGGGGGGGGGGGGGGAGATCTGATCGTTCCCCTGGCAATTAGCACGCTCTCAAGACAGTCACATGAACAGCTGCCAGAGGGTGGGATGGGAGGGAGGGGTATCGGATATGTGGAAACGTGGGGGCATCGTTTTGGCCGGCGTTTTTTTGAAAAGTTGTCACACTGGCAAATTGGCAACGGGCCAAACAGGTAAGTGGAACGCATTTGCGACTTGAGAATATGCTAATTTTGGGTCTAGCAGCAAATGGCAAAGCGCGTTATTGATATGAATCATTACCTTCAACGACATCACCATTGTCTCTCATTTGACTTGGAGTTTGCCCCCAACTCTCAACTCAACTCAACTCGGATCATCTCCAGTTTGGGTCGTTCGCCTTGGCTGAGCTCCAGCGGCTTTTTTTTTGCCCAGTCACGCTTATTGTAAATTGTGAACTACCCCGGGCACATTTGCACATTTGCATAGGCCGTGCCCTCAATGCGGCAGCAGCTCCGCCGGCTAGAGGATTTCCCCAAATAAACCAAATTCCAAATCGAGCTGCTCAATGAACATATATTACTCATTACGTTGCATGACTTGGCCCAAAATGGGGCCTGGGATGAAAGCTGCTTTGGGCTTAAAGTTTGCTCGCCGTGTTCTTTGGAATTAACGCCGCGGGTGTAAAGTACGTCGAAGCTGACGATTCTGAGTTTATTGGCTGTGTTGAACGGCAAATATTATATATATTGTTTAATTGATTGATTAACGAACTGCACCTAGGCAAACTCTCGGCCGTAAGTGGGTCTAATTAGGGCTAACCTTTTGTCTAAAGTTTGCAATTTTGTAATTATGAGCATATTGCTAAAATGTACCACAAATAATTGACAGATGTTTGTTACGATTAAGCGTTATGTATATTTATTAAAATGTGTTTAATAATTATTAATGTACATATAAAAGTTTGCGGAACTTACGATATAGTTATATACTTATTAAAATGCATACTCTAATTATAAAAGTACATAAATTCAAACAAAGCTTAGTATGTCAATGTAAAAGTTTGCGAAGCTTACATTAAAATAATTATCATATAGAAAAGTCAATATCTAGGATAAAGAAACAATCAAAATATAAAACAATAAGAAAATGTGTTCAATAAAGATAATTTACCTATGATTTATATACTTATATTTTATACACAAAGTTTACTGAGTCAGATTACGTAAAATATGAGCTCAAACAGAGCTCAATAAATATTAATTGTTATTAATTTTAGGAGCACAACAAACATTATATACAATTATATAAATAGTTAATTTGTCTAAGATCAAAATTCGTTTAAAATCATGTCCGCTTAATCTGACCTCTATATATATATATTTTTTTTTCTCATTAAATTGGGTCCAACTAGTTTCGGATGGGCTAACTGACCTATGCCAGCGGCTCTTAGCAACTCCGTTGGAAATTTTGGTCCAGCTCTGCACAACATTTTTCCATTTTTAATTGCACGAAGTCTCGCTGTCTCGCTGTCTGGCATTGATTATATTAACATGTCTCTGCCCGGCTGAAACGTGCCAATGTATCCCATATAAGGCGATTGTTTAATTGGCCTGGCAAACTTGTTGAGCCTCATGGCGAGGGCCGTTCGCTTGCAGCGGCGAGTTTATTGCCTCGATTCCGACTATACATGCATGTATATGTATATACTATATGCATATAATTGATAAGAGCGCGATTCATTGGGGGAATACCGCTGATAAAAAGCCCAATAGATTGATCACATTTCCCTGTACTTATATCCCGAGACTTAAGGGATTTTGAAATTATTTGACGTCAAGCATAAATATTTATTAGCCTGTTAATCAACTGAAAATTGCTGTAAAGTTGAATAGCTGAAAATTTGTTTAATAATAAGACTGTAAAGTTTAGTTTTTAATTTTTTTTATTTGTTTGTTTTTTCTTTTTTCAAAAAATTCTTTGTTTTAATTTGTATGCTTATAATTAAATAACAATTTTTTTTTGTATTTTTTTTTATATTTTTTTTGGTAGCTGCCGGTTATATGAAAAGCTAACATAACAAAACTTTAATATTACAAATTACAATTTTTTTATGTTTAATCTGATATTACAATTTATGGACTGAATCTGCTCGTTGTGAACAAAGTCGCCATTATTAATGTTTCTCAAAAAAAAAAAAAATATTAAACAGCAGTTGGTCACGCGCTTAAGCGTGTGCGCATGTGTGCGTGTGCGTGTGTGTGTGTGTGTTGGTTTGCCTCTGGTTGCGAAATTGCTGCCAGATCAAAGAGAGGGAGAGTGAGCGAGAGTGCATGCACTTCCGCAGCAGCCATGTGTTTGTTGTTGTTGTGATTGTTGCTGCTGCTGTGTGTTCTGCTCCATTCTCGTCTGTTGCTGCGCTGCTCCAACGAAGGTCGTTGTCGCCTGCCTCGCTCTCTCCTCTAGCATCTAGCATAATAGATAATTGACCACCGTGTCGCAGCTACTTTTGCTTTCGCTGCGACTCCACCTCCTTCTCCTCCTTCCATATACACTTATACATATGTATATATATGATATAGTTGATATATATAATTGGGATATGTCCCAACGTCGGTTTCCGCAGAACTCTCCAAACGTTCGGGTACATTAACCTTGTCTTAACTGGTTGTGTTTGTTTCCTTTAAAACCATGTTTTGCCCACTGTGACGGGCTGTTCAACTTCTGTCTCTTTCTCAACAGGACTTATACCGCCGGCAGCTGGACAATGGGATGTTGCGGTGCATCCCAATGGGCTTCGCAGTAGTCGACCAGTTGATTCTCGGCCTTGTTTAGCTGCTCCTCGCTCTGCTCGCCGCTCCAGGTCTTCTGCACCAGGCAGCATGACTCGATGCTCTCCTGGCCCAGAATGCGGCTCAGCTTGGTGGCATCGTCCACTTTAATCACATAGATGTCGTTCTCATAGCAGAACGCCTCCAGCAGCACTTCGTGCATGTGTGTGGCCGAATCGCCAGCCTTGGGCACGGCCATCAGGCAGAAGAGCGAACCCTCCGGCGACTTGGACAGCGTATTGATGGCTGCCGACAGGCCGACAATCACACGAGATTCTGATTGGGCTCGCAGCAGAGCCGTTTTAACGGTACGTCCGATGGGCATGGCGCACTCGGCCAGCTCGAGATTGTCGTTGTGGTGATAATGATGCATGTTGGCTGATTCCTCAACGACCATATTGGATTTGTTAATCTCTGGGCTTGTCACTTGAGCTGAAGCTTGAGCTATTTTTGAAGCTTCTGTTTGCACTTTGTGTGTTTGGTTGTCGCACACTTTTTGTCTTTTTTGTTGGGGTAGCACTGCTCTGTTGTTGCTTGTGTTATTAGCGTTAGTCAGTTTATTGGTTTTGAATCTTTTTGGCAATTTGCGCTTTATTAACTTTTGCTTATGAAATTCTTTTCACGTTGACGCTGCGCGCTTTGAAATCCGTTTAACCGTCTTGCTTTGTGCTTGTTTCAATTTTGATTTGCAATTTCACAATGAATGCCAGACACTGGCGAGCGCACGCTTTTATAGCTGCGCTCTCGCCGCCAACGAATTTCATAAGAAGAGCGCATTGCTTGGCATGTGCTCTCGCTTGCGCTCTTGGTGGAGCTTTTGGCGGGGGCCTGCTCACGCAACAGTTGGTAAAGGCCACAGCCGGCGTGAAATCCAACCCACACGATCCACCTCTCTCTCGTTCTCACTCTCTCTCTCAGTGTGCGTGTGTGTGTGTGTGTGTATTTTTTCCAAGTATTTTCGCTTGAGACCTCCGCTCACGCTCTAAAACTGAAGCTTCAGCAAGTTTAATTTTGTGCTGCGCTCAGCAAATTTTTATGCCTTTTGTGTTTTTGGTGGATGCTCACAGATTTCCGTTAATTTGGGCAATTAGCAAACTTTGTCTGGCTGCTTCTGTGGCTTTGCCTTGCCCTTTCAGCTTAAGCTTGTTTCAATGCCGCTCTTTGTGCTCTGGGCGCATCTTACGCTCCCACGAAGTGCATACATATATGCACGCACATACATATACATATATATACATATGTATAGGTATAACAGTTTGTTGCTCGCTTGAACTTTTACTCTCAGTCTGTTGCCTTGATTTTGAAGAGGTTTTTCGTCGAATTGGAAAATGAGTTTTTGCACTTCCTTCAAAAACGATTTTGTCACCGATTTTTTGGAAAATTCAGCACAGCTGTCAAGAGTATGCCAATTTATAGCCATATTAATGGTTTTCACTAATTTTCGCCACTCGCTTTTCACGCGAACTCAACCGAATTCGGCGTAACACGCTGCTGGCCATGCACTTGGCTATGGGCCAAATGGTCAACAGGTCGTGAAAATGACTCAAGACTTAAACTTAATAAATATATTTATATAATTATTACAAATTCGACCAGCTATCAGTCATGCCCTCAAGACCTGACGTCAAACTGACCCCCCTGGCGTACAACGTTGCGTATACGCGATGTCTGTGCAAAAAAAGTTTCGCTCTCCGTCTCATTGTTTAATTAATGAGCTCGCGCGTTCGCGCGCGACAAACACAAACGAAATTCAATAAAAGTTTGTTATTGTTTTTCGCTTGAAATTTTAGTGAATGAAAGCCCTCTGAACACGTCAGCTGGACGTCTGCCAGAAAATGAAAATGAAAATATATGCTAAGATCTGGGATGTAATGTGGAATGAGTTTGTCGTCTGAGTTAGTTTCTAAAACAATTATTCGAGAAGTTCATCTGCCTCAGCGGGCAATTGTCATTGTCCGAGGTCTTTGATCAATTTGCGGACCGCACCCGATCAGCTATACCCAATGCGCCATTCCCGTTAGGGGGGGCCTTCAATTGCCGCCGCGCAAAAACCAAATTAAATTTCGGTTTTTTTTTAATGCATTTTTTCGTGTTATTTTTTTTCTCCTTTACTCTGATATGCAAGCATAATATTGTTTTCGATGGCACAAAAGGGTGCTGAGCTATGTTTTTTTGTGCAGACCAACAAATGTGGTCTTTAAATAGCCACCTGACCAAAAGCACGTACATAACAACCGAAAACAACAAAAAAAACACACACAAAATCAATTTTATGTACATATGAGTTATGCGAAAACATGTGTATGCAATTGATGTACTAAATATGTATATATAAATATATGTAAAGGGGTTGAGTGCACGACAATTTGTCGGGGTTAAAGGCTTCATTTGTGGGCTTGATTAAGCATAGGTTGTTGTCCTATACGAGAATTCACTGAACTTTCTTTCCAGATATCTAAGTACAGAACTCTTAAGCTGCCTTCAATCCTGCACAACTGTACCGCCCCCTCCCTCAAAATGCAACAGCATAAAAAACAAGCTAACAAAAAAACCAATTCAAAGCTTTCCCACAGCAAAAGGTAAATAAATTTCACACCAATCCGGAAAATGTTGAGTTTAATGAACTTCTTGGAAGAGATAGAAAATAAAAAAATTGGTAATTTGATTTGCAATAAAATATGCCAAAAAAACAAGATGGTTAACACCAATATCAATGAACTTTTCCGGCCAAAGCAAAGACTCAGCAGGTTAATCACCCAGGGAGAGGGGGGTGGGGGGTCCCAAGGGACTCTGCCAAGCACTGACCTATCTGAAGACGAAATATAAAAGTTGTTAACTTGTTGAAAACACGGCTTGCATATTTCTGCTTAGCCAAGCTGCTTGCGTTAACTTAAATTTGCAATGGGCTAACAAAACGTAAACGTAAAATTGCAAAGAAAAAAAGGGAAAAGAGTGGAATAATATCTGGCATCAGGCGATCGGATTTGCGCGCCAATTTTGACTCAATAATGGCCAATGAACTTGGCCCTCGGCCACGCCCAGTTGTTGACTATGGAAATATAATAACACAATAACAAAAGTGGGCCCACTAAAATTACAAATTACAAATTCGCTGGCCCGGCCAGCTCATGCCCCTGTCGCATGTTGGACAATTGGAATTGGGTCGGGGCTGCACTTGTTATTGAACGAGCGGCTTATTGCCTGGTTCTTGCCACATAAACAAGTGGCCACCGCGTGGCAATGCGCCCGGCAGATGTACAACTCACACAGTGCTGAGTCATTTGGCCCAACTAAATATACATATATGGCCAGCATGAGTCAAAATCGTGTGCATGGCTGACAGAACAGGTTTGTCGAATTCCCCATAAATGCGCTCGAAAAAATGACGAGCACAGGTATGAGATACATTCCTCAACGGCAGTCGGTCCAAAGTCCAAATCAATACATGCCATGCAATGCGTCCGCTTCGAGTGCGTCGCGTTTAAGCTCACGTGCACAGTTAAGAGCTGAGAGCGGAGATCTGAGCGCAGAGAGCAAAGAGTTAAAGCATGGCCAAGCTGCAATTATGTGTATGCAAGAAATACATGCACACATACATACACACATGTGTATGTGCATGTTTAGACTGGGGGAATTTTTGATCTTGGGTAAAGCCCAGCAGAACGGGTAAATGCCTTGTGCCAAGCCCCAATGCCGTGGGAGGCAGAGGCTTTTCTATCTCACGCACAGTTTGGTACTTTTTTTGCTGCTGCATCTTAAATTCATCTACATTTGAGAGAAGCGCTGTTCAAAATTTGAATGCACTTCAATTATCTAATTAGCGTCGTATTTTTTTTTATCTGTTACAGTGCTTTCCCTTTTAAAAATAACCAGCGAAGCAATGTAATTCCCAAACAAAATTGAAAGTCTAAAGTAAACTTAAAAAAAGGAATAAATTTAGACATCAGCCATCGATTAAAGAAGAAATTTCGAGAAGGGAATTTTTAATGAGTGCGTATAAAACGGCTCAGTTTTAGCCAAGTATGGAAAACAAAAGTCTGCGAAGTGCGTTTGGCGGGCTACAATGTAAAATTCCCTTAAACAAGGAATTATACAAAGAATTTCCCTCTACATCTTTTCAATTATAAGTCAAAAAGCCCTCCAACGTCTTTTTACATTTCAAGCAGGTTGGCAGCGCGTTGCGCTGACGAAAGCTCTTGCCAGAGCGAAAGCTCTTGAGTTAGAGAATTTGTTTTGCCGGCGATTTGGCAAAGCGCTGCTTCTTCTTCTATGTAAACAAACACAGCCAACAGCTGAGTCAATTGTGATTCAGCTAGTGTTGATTAGGAACACAATTCAATGCATTTTTTTTGTACGCTGCGGAACTGAGTTATAATCGCGCGCAATTAAGTTCATAATAGAGCAATTTAACGCATACCTGATATTTGAATGTGAGCTTTTAAAGCTTGACAAGGTGACCGCTTCAAAGAGTCATTGTACAACACCGTGCTACCAAAACTGAAAGCTTTGTGATGTAACAGGCAGCACGCAAAGGGAAAGAAGTCGAAGAAACAGAACCAAAAACAGTCTAAAAATATGACAAAACAACAACAACAAAAACAATGAAACGGTAAGAAAAACGAAGTTTAAGTTTGTTTGTGAAGCGGAGCAGAGGGAAACGAAACTAATTGCTCAGCATGGGAATCAAAGCGCCGAGATAAATACAACAAGCGAAACCGGCTCGGGCATTCAGTTTGTCGCTGGCTGACGGAACTAACGGACCCGCCAGAGCAACGGACAACGCATTCGCTTGGAACTAGAGCGCGGCTGTAAAGATCAACGTCATCGCGGGGGAAATTCAACGAGAGTCGACGTTTATTGAATTGGAATACAATGGAGTACCTGCAGTATGCCTATGAGAAAATATTCGGAGCTGATGCGACGTCGTCAGACAAGACGCAGGGCACCTATCAGACGTAAGTTCCAGGCACGCCAAGGCCAAGGTTTTCCGAATCAATAATGACTAAACAAAGTTTCCTTTAACCCACTCCACGCCAGGCCACGCAAAGTGGTTTGCTTTGGCAACGTGCTGCTGGATCGCATTGTTAAGCTGGAGGAGCCGGAGCTGCTGCAGCGCTACGAGCTGAAGCTGGGCTCCAAGGGCGAAATGGATCTGGAGCAGCTGAGCAACATGGCCACCGAGGCAGCCAGCAGCGGGTAGGTGCCAAAAAAGAATAAGAAGAGCTCATTCTCAAGCAGTTGCTAATTGTTTTGTGTACCCATTCCAGCTCCGCCTGCCTGAGCAATCCGGGTGGCTCGGCCCTGAACACGGTGCGCATCTTGAAGCAACTGGGCACGGATGCGCAGTTCTTTGGTGCCATTGGCGCCGATAAGCACGGCGAGCTGCTGCACTCCATATTGCTGGAGCGCGGCATTGAGGCGCGCCTGCAGATCGTCGAGGATGTGCACACGGGCCAGTGTGTGTGCCTCATGCACAACGATAATCCGACGCTGTACGCCAACGTCGGCGCCTCGGCGCACTTCTCGCTCGAGGAGCTGAAACGTGCCGCCAGCGATGACACCCAAAGCTTTCTGCGACCCATCGAACGCAAGCAAATCCTCTATATTGAGGGCTTCTTTTTGCCGCAACGATTCGAGGTCGTCGATTATATACAGGTGCATCTGGTGCGGGAGCGTCGCTACTTGGCGCTGAATCTCAGCGCTCCGTACATCGTGCGCCAGCACTCGGACAAGATGCTGGAGCTGGCGCAGCGTGCCCTCTTCATATTTGGCAATCGCCAGGAATTCGAGGAGCTGGCCAAGACAGCTGGCTGCAAGACAGTCGATCAGCTTGCAATGCAACTGCTGCAGTCCGGCAGCCAGCCCAAGATCATACTCATCACCAACGGCGCGGCGGGCGTGCAGCTGGCCACCAACTATGTGGCAGAGCTCTCCCCGCCCGGCGATCTCAGATTCGAGGATTACCGAGCACAGCGCGCCGATCAGCTGGTGGATGCGACGGGCGCCGGCGACGCCTTTGTCGCCGGCTTTCTGCACGCCTGGCTGGAGAAGCGTTCGCTGAGCGAATGTGTGCGCCTGGCCAGCAATGTCGCCGCCAAGGTGGTCACACAGGTGGGCTGCAACTTGCCTTAGCCTGACGTCGCCTTGGTCTTTGGTCAAACAAAGATTTCGTTGACTCAGCGAGCGCGCACAGTGACACCAAAGTAGACCTTTATTACACGAATCTTACACCATATATATATTGCATATATATGTTTCTGTACTTAGTTCCTTATGAGACAATGCACTTAGTGAGTTAACTATTTGCGCTCTGACTGTGCTTAAACAATGAGAAAATATTTACAAATATATATATTTAATAATAAATGTTTTCATATCGAACAAAGAGCTGGCAATTTTATATAACCACAAATATCCATCGCAATGCTTTTGTTGCATATACAAATATATTTTACCCAATACTTTATATATGTATACTATAAATATATCATTATATCAATAACAAGGCTTAGGGCACACTCAATTCCTTGCTAGAATAAATATTTATATAAATATTAAGAGACCTACAAGAGGTTGTTTTTTTTACACATATGTATATGCTTTAACAAGGCCAACTCTTTGTTTATTTCTCTGCAATTTTATATCTTATCTGTAAAAGTACATTTTTTTAAAATTTTTTTTAAGTACTTAATGCAATAAATTTATGACGACGCCGGATAAACAGGTTTTTATATGTATATGTATATCTACTTTTATAGCTTAAAGGTCCCATAGTTTCTAAAGTGAACTTTTAAGAAATCAGCTCCCATAGATAATTATGAAGTTATTTTGAAAAACTAGTTTTCTTGGTTTCAAATAAATATTTGTATTACTTGATTATCTAAGTATGTATTCATTTATTATATTTTTAAAGTGCAGTCTATTTAATTTCTTTTATATTTTAATTCTCTGACTTTGATGCTCGTCAATTTGTTTCCCATGCTAATCTACAATAAACCGATAAGACCAATTTCAGAGAAAGCTAAATAAGTCTATATATAAAACTTAGCGACTGATTAGTGAGCAACGCACAGCCCAAGACCCAAGCTTTAGTTTTTACTTAATCAGCCCGGGGAAATCCACCCGGAAGTGTGGAAAATTCACGGAAAACGGGGTGCCTACAACTTTTTTGTTGAATTTGCGATTGCTCGTAGACTTTAAAATATATATGTAAAATACAGTAAATTTCTTGTGCACAAAAGAAATGCCTAAAATAGGAAGAAAAGAAACTTGGGTAATACCCGCTCGTATATACATAGATGTTGTTTCATTCTTATAAGAAGTACGTACATGCATCAGTTTGGGTTAGTTTCTGCTCCGCAAAACAATCACATTCTATTATCTTATGCTGACTTACTCATATGCGGCCCACATGAATAAGTCAGAGTTGGATATGACGGCATAGCTCCAAATGTAGCATGTCTGGATATCATCAAAGCAAATGCTGCTTTGTTGTTCTTTATGGGGATGGGGGTTGCTCGCAATCGCTATTAGAATTGGAATTGGAAGTGGAACTGGGGCTAGCTCAGGGCCTGGCCCAGGCTGCGTCACACGTGTTTGCAAATCGTTAACAAAACTAAGCCGCATTAGCCATGCTTGTTGAGTCTCTTGTTGGAGTCCAAGCCGAGAGCATCTTGGCAAACAGGCGGCTGAGAGCAGCTGATGCAGAAGTTGCTGTAAAGCTAGAGATGGGCGCGTGTGGCTTGGAAAAAGACACGAGCACGACTTATAATATATGAAATATATGTAAATATATAACATTTTATGACGAATTTTCCTTATAGCTAATCTGGAATAGTTTAAGGCTATGTAAATTCGTGTTTAGTCGTGTTGGGCCGTGCCTAAGTCATGTCTGGCCGTGCATAAGTCGTGTTAGGTCGCGCCTATGTCGTGTCTGGTCGTGCCTAAGTCGTGTCTGGTCGCGCTTAACTCGTTTTAAGTCGTGCATAGCTCGTGTTAAGTCGTTTATAAATCGTGTTAAGTCGTGACTAACTCGTGTTAGGTCGTAATCAAGTCGTGTTTTCTTGCTACTTAACTTTACACGAATAATCACAAACACGCACGAAATAACATTTTGCAGCACGCACTCGCTCGTGTTCAGTTTTGCCTTTCTCTGTCTCTCGAGAGAACAGGAAACACGCCCATCTCTAGTTTCCGACTTACACTTAACAATAAACAAATGCCAAATTAGAGGCTTAGCAAAGCAATTTCACTTTTCAAGGCAATTCCAGCTCTCTCTCTCTCTCTCTCTCTCTCTTGAGCTTAGCTACAGTGAGCTGCTTAATTGGCAAAAGCTGCTTAGAAATCGCCCACTATCAATGTGTAAAAGTCAATATTGACACGCCCACACAATATTATACAGGCGGGGGCCAGTCCAAAGAGAGGCAGACGACTTGTTTAAATCACATCGCCCGCCGCCGGAATCTGTTGTTAATTGCTTGATATTAATTTTATGGAAGTTGAGCTGCAAATGGTGGCCGAGGCCAAAGTAAAAGTACACGTAATTAATGTCATCCTGTGGTTTACGGGGCTAACAGCCACTCCACAGGACAAAGGATGTGCGAGTGTGTGTGAGTGTGTGTGAGTGTGTGCGAGTGTGTTCGGCTTTGATGTGTGCTCCATTGTTCGCAAGGACTTGCTGCACAAAATGTGATAATTAAATGTCGTCCATTTGCAGGGGCTTAGCTTTTAATTTATAATAAATTTGCTACCGAGCGCTGCTGCGTTCTTCTTCTTCCCAAAAATGCATTTTTGGACCCGAACGTTTGCCATTTGATTTATGTGCAGCGCCTCGCATGAGCAGCTGCAACTGACATTGCATATTTGCCAAGGGTAGGGGGTAGGGGAGGGGGCGGGTCCGCGGCCTGGCCTGGGCTTTGATATTGCCCATGTTTGCACAAAATATTGCGCATACGCCACAGACGCCGGCAAACACTCGCACACACACACACTCGCACACACACACACACACACAAGGACTAGCCGGCTTGAGCCTTTGGCTTTGTCCTTTGCCTTTTTGCGGCATAACGCGCGGTTAAGTGGCCATAATGTGTGCCTTTATGGGCTCGGTCCTCGTTCCTCGGTCCTTGGTCCTCGGCACGGCTTCTGTTCCTCTGCACAGGTCTTATTTTAATTCCCCGCCGTATTTGCTGAGCTGGCATTGTTGCTGAATTATGTTATGCCAGCCGCTTGTTGATTCTTATATTGTTTTTCTTCTTTTTATCCTCCTCTGTTTGCCTTTGCTGTTGTCTCTGGCCGCTGTCCACGGCCTGTTCCAAATATTTGGCTACGGCCATGTTTGCTCAGTTGTTTGCGGATAATCCGGTTTTATTGTTTAATAAGTCATGCCTGGCATCGCCGCCCGCCTGGTCCACTGCCTGATTGCTGCTGGCCACGTTATCGCCTCGTTAGCTTTTCGACTGAAGCCTGGCACATTTTTGTGCTGATGATCGAAAAATCGATGCTTAAATTAAATAGGTATTTGCATATTCAAGGCAAATTTAACGTTCATCTTTAAGGAATGTAATTTATAGATTTTACCAGAACCTTTTTCCTATAGGTTTTATAGGGATATTTTTTGTAGAAGGAGACGATCCCATAAGGAACTTGCAGCTTATATAATTGTTGCCACCCGGCTTAACTGTTCCCAAGTCTCAAGGATGCATTTTCTATTAGCTTCAAATTAATAATATAATTATCCAATTATCCAGCTGTCTGCCGGCCGGGACAGTTCATTTGAATTGAATATATTTTGATAGATTTGCCAGCTGCAATCGCATTTTCGATTGGAAACGTCACAAAATGGAAATTCACCCCTTGCTTTTAGCACTTGCATCACAATCAATTGTCGTCGACGGCAATTTGGCAAATTATAGGCTAAGAGCCACGCCCATTGGCCAAGGACAATTGCGAGTGCTTGGCAGGCCAATAAAAGACATTTGCCAAGCACTTTGTGGCCACAGTATCAAGTGGCCCAGGCCAGAGACTCGAGTAAGCCCCAGCCGGAAAAAGGAGATGGATTTGGTGGAAATGGAAATGGAAAGTGGGAAGGATATTGCTTTGGTGGCCATCAATGTGGGGATTTGGCGTCGGTTGGCGGTGCTCTATCCGACGCCTTTGAACAATTGGCGGAAGTACGCGTTTGTGCTGCCCGTTTGCCTGATGAACCTGATGCAGTTCTTCTTTCTGCTGCGCATGTGGGGCGATCTGCCCGCCTTTATACTCAATCTCTTCTTCTTTTCGGCCATATTCAATGCCCTAATGCGCACGCTGCTGGTCCTGTTCAAGCGACCGCAATTCGAACAGTTTCTCGACGAGCTGGCCCGTCTCTATCGCCAGATTGAGGCGTCCAGGGATGAGTGCAGCCACCGTTTGCTAGCGGCGGCGGTGCACGAGGCACGTCGCCTGGCCATATTCAATTTGACGGCCTCCTTTCTGGATGTTTTGGGCGCAGTTATCTTTGCCATGTTCCTGGAGCCGCGCAGTAAGCGGATAATGTTTGTTAGATTTCAATTTGCCAATTCCCATTTGGCTGCAGCGCATCCGTTTGGAGTTGCTTTGCCGGGCCTGGATATGCAACGCACGCCCATCTATCAGATATTCTATGTGCTGCAGTTGCCCACGCCCGTGGTGCTCTCGATGATGTATATGCCGTTTGTCAGCCTGTTCGCCGCCTTTGCGCTCTTCGGCAAGGCCATGCTCCAGATATTGGCCCACAAGCTGTCCCGGATCGAGCAGCTGCAGGATGAGGAGCAACGCTATCAAATGCTGACTGCCTGCATACGCATTCACATCACGGTGGCCGGGTGCGTCTACCCTACTGTACCTGTTAACTGCGACAAGCTCATGGTAAACTTCATTGCAGATATGTGCGCAAGCTTACAACACTGGTCACCTATATTGTGGGCGCCGAGGCGATTATCTTTGGCTCGATTATTTGCTCGCTGCTCTTTTGCCTCAATATTGTTAAGTCTATGTTACTTTTCTCTCAGTCAGTTATATAATTCTGCCTTGTATATAGATCACCTCGCGCACCCAGATGATCTCCATAGTCATGTATATCTTGACCATGCTCTATGTGCTCTTCACCTACTACAATCGCGCCAACGATTTGGTCATTGAGGTGCGTGACGCTACAGTGGGCAGCTCAGTTTCAAAGGACTTGCCTTTTTCTCTTTTGCAGTGCTCGCGGGTCTCGCAGGCGGCTTACAATGTGCCCTGGATGGAGTGCAGCATGCGTTTTCGCCAAACCCTTCTGATCTTTCTAATGCAAACGCAGAGGCCTTTGGTGGTGAGTGGGATGGGTTGTGGGATGTGGTTGCCGTATTGCGAGATACGCTTGCATTTCATTTGGCAGATTCTAATCGTGGCTTTTGTGAGTGCGCTCCATTTCATGTCTCGTTTCTCGTTTCTCGTTTCTGGTTTCCCTTTCAGATAAAAGCGGGCAACGTTTATCCCATGACTTTGGCCATGTTTCAGAGTCTGCTGAATGCATCCTATTCGTATTTTACCATGCTGCGTGGCGTCACCAACAAATGAGCTGGAAGCCAAAAACTTTTCGGTCTGCCGAATTGGAGAAGGAGTCCAGCTTCGATGTAGCTGGCAATCTGAGTAATGCAAAAAGTTGTTGTAGCTCGTTCGTAGTAGTAGTAGTCCGGGCATTTGCATATGCTACTCGTTGGCGTAGTTATTTTGAAAGGATTTAATCTGGCTGTTTGTAGTCTGGACTGTAGTGTTGGCACGTAGATATAGTCGTAGTTGTTGTTGTTATCATTATTATAGTCAGGCATCTGTGCAAATAGTTTGTTGCACGGCACGGAACGGGGAAAGAGCGCTGCGGCGTATTTTTGTTTGCTTTAAATCTCTTGTATGCTTAGAAATGCTTCACTTAGTTGTTTTAAGCGCAGCTCATGGAATATCTCTGTTTAATTGAGGGGCCCTAGAGAAAATAGCTCAAAGCAAAGTCAAATTTTAATAAATTCCATGCAGCCCGAAAGTGTGCAGCAATAATTAGGGCACAACATAAAAGGGCTCACAGCTGGATTTGTGTGCGTGTTTACAAATATTTTTAATATATATTAATAAATAATAAATATGATAAATAAATATTATTCAAATTCTTGCTTTATCAAAAATATTATTTGAAAAAGGCTTATAAATATTGTTGCTCTATTTTTGGCAAAAGCTAAATAAAAATCATCTACAAAAATTTAAAAAGAAAATTGAAATAAAATAAGAATTTCATAAATAAATTTCTATCTTCAAAGGGGTGTGCTATGGTAGGTATATTTAAAGTTGATTCTATACATATATATAAGGCTTTACAAATTCACAGCTGTAAATGATAACAAACATTTTATTGGACATATATAAAATATATATACGTCTTTATCTCTATCGAAATCAATTTGGCATCTTAATCTGGCAACTTTATTCTTGGGCAAAACTCATGCAAAAATGTTACGCTCAAACATCCCATTTAGGTTAAAATTTCCCACCCCCATAAGTGGTTTTTATATAAGCGTATAAATGTACAAATATAAATATTTAATTGGGTACTCACCTGTAAATTCCCACGCATGATTATTTTATCGTCATCTATCAGTCGGCGGGATACGAACTTTTATATAAGCACATAATCAACAAGTCATCTGAAAGTAAAGAAAAAAAGCAGAGATGTTTATTAATACTTGAATTAATGAGAATCGCGTAGTAGAGCTATATTTATAAATACGTGCTTTGTTCATTTTCAGCTCAGCTCAGCATATACACATATTTAAAAACATATATACAAACCAACTTGCATACTATTCTAATATATTAGATGCTACATGTAGAAAGACATATTTTTGTTAATAATACGTACCAATTTATTCAATGGCCACATTTAAAATTTGATGCCGCCTCCTCCGCCAAAGCACTTGACACTGTTTCCTTCAATATTAAAACCGTCGCCTCCTTTATGGTTGAGGCCGCCATCGTCTTCCTCCTTTGGTCAAGCGACTTACTTGATTTTATGAGAATCGAGGAGTAGGGCATTAGTGAGGAATATGTGTAGAAGAAAGCGCTGCTAGCAGCAATTCGGCGTTAGTTTCAGGGTGTTTCCCAGTCGGACACTTTCGACTGACGCACTCTTAATGATTTTTTAATAGATTTAAACCTTTTTAGACGCTAAGTTTTTTCATGCATTATAATAACAGTTCAAAATCAACCGCTGATGCAATGAAACCAATTACAAGTCTGTGTATTTTTGTTATAATTTTCGGGCTGTGCATCGAAATCGTGAAGGTATTTAGAAATTATGCAATGCTTGTAGAAGAAGATTTTATTACTTATGTGATTCATATTCCAGATGCATGCCACGGTCAAGATGACCAACGCCGTTTGCGAGTCCCGAAACAGATCCTGGGTGACAATTGAGCTGTGTCGCCTGCGTGCGATAAGTCGCAACAAGACTGTGTTAAATATCGAAGCAACATTTCTGCAGCCAGCTTATAAGATACACGTTAACGTGCAGATGAAGAAGAAGGCCAACGGATACAAGCCCTGGCTGGCCAACTATACGATTGATGGTTGTGCGTTTATGCGTCGCGTCAATCATCCTGGTGTCAAAATACTCTGGGAAATGATCAAGGACTACTCAACCATCAATCATACGTGCCCCTATGTGGTGAGTGGCTGGATCAATCAATCTGACTGATCCTTATGATGTGTTTGTACTTTTTTATGCAGGGCCAGCAAGTGGTGCGAAATATGTGGCCTGATCTGCGAAACCTGACGCTGCCTGTGCCGAGCGGCGAGTACGTGATCCTCGGAACTTGGCTGTTCGATATGAGGCCGCAGTTTGTTACCAATGTTTACTTTACATTCAGTCAGGATATGTTTAAGGATTAAATCGGGATAAAATCAGATCTGTGCACAATAGAATTTGTGAAAGAAACTTGGTTAGGTCAAGGTCGGGTAATAAACGCTCGCCAGCTTAAAAATACTTTCAACTACTTTTAAGGTATGCTATTTGATTTTTTATTAATATTTTGTTGGGATCTTTCTGAGCTACATGTTGCTCTGTTGCTTTGTTTTATAATTCAGCTTGCGCTTTTTAATTAAAATAACTAAAACTAGCTGTCTGCTGCAGTTTAATTAACATTAGTCGTGTTCTCTTTATTATGCAAATAAACGCGACAGCAACAGGAACAACAACAAGAAGAAGAATAGCCCCAAGGCAGCAACAATAACAACTTAATTTAAAATTCATTATAACTGACACCAACTAGTTAAACAATTGCCAGGCAGCAGTAAAATGCCCCAACAACAAAGGACAATAACTAAAACAGCAGCAGCTACAACAACAACAACAACAACAACAATAAAAACAAGAACTGGGCGCGCTTGAATATTGAAATGAGCCTCGGTCGCACTTGAAATACGCAAATAAACTTCAAAGGCCAAACTCCGGCTGAAGCTGAAGGACTGCACGCTGTGTCCTGGCGGGTGCCGCGGCTGCCACGGCTGCTGCTGCTGTCTCCTCCAGGCAGCCAGGCCTCCTGGTGAGCGCATAAATAATGGCAATGGCCACCGGCAGTCAGGCAGGCAGCCAGGCAGCCAGGCAGCCGGGCTATATTGTGTTGGGCTCGCGTGGCGTATACTTAATTTTATTATGAGGTGTCAAGTGGGCCGTCGACTTTGCAGCATTGCGCTGCCTCTTGGCCTTTTGTTTGTGTTATTTATGTTGTTGCCATTTGGCGGCAGGTGAGCGACGCCCCCAACTACACCTCACAATTGGGCGTGGCCCTGGGAGGGGGCGGGGGCGGGGGCGTATCCGTTAACCACCTGCGGTTGCAAAATGTAAACTTCCTTTAGGCATTCGCTTTTTACCCACTGCATATTCTAGTTTTGCAGCTCGATTTTTAAGGCTAGCTGTCAAATGACAAACAAAAAAAAAACAACGTGAATATGCAAATGCCGCAGGAAGCGTAACTGCGACACACAGACAGTTGCTCGGCCTGTATCCTGGCTGAGTCCGGGCTGAGTCCTGGCTGTCTGTGTGTGCTGCATAAAATTAACAAGTTTTGTCGCCCCCAAATGCAGTAACAAGGCAGGAGAATGCTCAGGTTGGGCGTGCCCAACTAACAGTTGCCCTGCACCTGGCGACCTCTTAAAGCTTCTTCCTCTTATATGAGAAACTACAGAGAAAGTTTGGCATATCTAGCTCTTATAATCCTCGAGTTATGCTTAAGAAACCATGTCTAAAGATCGATATTTATCGATATTTATATTATATTATGAAAATGAGAGCAGATCTGGAGAAAGTAAACAGCCCGAGAATATATGTTTCGTATTTCAAGTTTGTACCTCGTTCTCCTTATCAATCATACATATGTTTATATATATACTTTCATTGAGGCGCTTCCCTTTGCCTGTTACTAGCAAGGCCGCAAAACCAATATACCCCTTTTCAGCCATTTTCAATGGGTTTGGGGTATAAAAAACACGAAATGTTTCATTAGAGCCATGGCCATGAGCATGTTATTTACCAACAGCTGGCATTGCCAGCCACAGCCCCTGCCCCTGGCCCAAACACGACCGCACCCGCAACCCGCACCACGCCCCGCTGCCTGGCTTTGTTGTGGCGCCGCGTCAAAGGTGGCGCTCTTTTATAATTGAATTCATATGCCTCAACGGAAGCGGCAAGCGGCAGCCACAACATTTAGCTGGGGGTGGCCAAAAAAGGGGGGCTGCCAAGCACTCGCCATGTGTGTGTGTGTGTGTGTGTGTGTGCCATTTGGTAGCATTTCATTTAAATGGATTTTCAATTGCGGTTTGAACATTTTGCATAAATTGCTGTAATGAGTTTATTTCGAGGCAGCAAGTGGCTTCGTTTGGCTCAGTCCCAAACTCGCCTCGTCCTCGCCCTCGCCTCGTCTCGTTGCCTCATTTGCAATTGTCAACTGGCTGTCAGGTCTGACAGTTGTATTGACAGTTTGCTTTTGCTGTTAATATTAATTGTGGCATTTCGTTTTTAGTCCATGACAACATTTGATGGCATTACAAATGGCAATGTTAGCAAAGCCAAAAGGCAGAAATATATATAAACATTTTAAGCTTAAAGGTAGCATCTACCCCAACAGGCAAGTCAATGCAAACTAGTTCCATCATTCATATGCTAAAGATTATAAACAAATCAATTGCGAATTTTAGTATAATTATTGTGTGTACATAAAAAGCTGTGTGTGGGGTATAAATGCTTACTCTTTTCTTTACTTTAGTGCTCAAAAAATATTGCAAAGGAGCACATTGGTAGGCTTCACTCTCATGGAACTTGTAGACAAATACCTCACAGTGCGACGCTTGGGCAGAAGCCAGCCCCTAGATTGATTTTAAATAAAATGCTCGACAACGAAATATTCGTATATGTACATACATATATTTATCCCATTAATTTTCAAATACAATTCAGATCATTGAAAAGGTTTTGAAGTGAAATAGATCACAATAGAAATAATTACCAAAAATATTTGTTTAAGCCTATAATGAGCTGATTGTGATAATGTGAGTATTGGTAAAAGATTTCTTGCGCATTCAAATAATTATATTATAATAATTCTATACACATTTTATTGTCATGGTTGTCAGGTGGATTACTTTTCACTCAACTTTGTATTATCCTGTTCACGAGCTGCTGGTCGATGCTCAGATCTTCAAGGGAGCCAATGGATATAAGCCCTGGCTCTTTAAGGCAATGTTTTATGGCTGTTTAGCAGCTCACTTTGAAGATTCACGGGGGGACGCGTATGTTAAGTATCTATATATCCGATTATATACTCCTAATGAGCTGGATCTTTCATAAAAAGCCAACGACAATATTACAAATATAAATTTTACTTATTGAAGATATTTTAGATCAATAAATCAAAGTCGGGCTTCTAAAGCTTTAGGGTAAAACAACAATGATAATGTTCAGTAAATGATGTACACCATTTTTATTGCTTTATAATGAGATACCGGCTTGAAAGCGGGGGGAACCAATTTTCATATTAGTGAAAAATGTTCAAGCTTGAAAAGGAAATGATATGATAATCATAATCAGATAATCATTTAATTGACCGTTATTACAAATTACTTGATAATTTTCTGACTACTTGATAAACTTCGCAAAAAACACGGAAAATTCTTTTTTACGGCTATATATAAATTTATTACTGAGGCCTGTGAATCATTGAAGGGGTCCTTATAGGAACGGGCATACATTACAAATATTTATATCCGAATGGAAAGCTTACAACCGATATATATCGTTATTATAGCAGTACGTAATAAGTGCAATGTTAGTTGTAAGTGTACTCATGTTAACAACCGATATTTCTATAAGTCTATCTACAAGCAAGAAAGACACGAGCTTAATTACGAACTCGAAATACAACCTACAAATATCAATTAAGCTTTTGTTGTTTTGTGAGATCAATGTCCAGATCTACGCAGTTCGTCATTCTAATGAAGAATATAAATATATTCTTTTGGAGCGAATATGCAAACATTATATCCGTTTAGCAAATTGCAAATGTTGTTAATGTCAATGGACCAGGGCTAAAGAGTACCAATTATTAGTTTATTTCTTACCATAAATTGCCTTTTCCAATGCAGTTTGAAACAGAGCTTTGCCCCTCGCTGGGACAAATGCTGCCGACTAATGAACATAATTAACAGATTTGCCTTTGTAATATAATAAACTTAAATAATATGCGATTATTTACATCACTGAAATCCATCAACATAATACGTGAGCTTAAATATTAGTCAAATTGCTCAAGCGAGAAATAAAATCGAAAATCAAAATCTAAAAATATAATACAGACTGTTCGACTTTGAAGCATTCAATAGTCTTCCATTGCCATGGGCGTTCGGTTGTTCCGCTTCGGCTTACTGCTAATATTGCTGTCCTACAATGTGAGTCGATATTTTGGAGCCAAGCGGATCGTTTCAACGTAATCCTCTTTCAGGACGCTGCTCTATTTAAATTCACGAATGTCATTTGTGAGTCATGGAATAAGTCGTGGGTTAGCGTCGACGAGTGCCGACTGAGGGCTGTTAATCGCAATAAAACCACATTGACCATGATGGCTACTGCCCTTCATCCCGTCAACGATGTGGTGATCGATGCACAGGTTTTCAAGAGAGCCAACGGATATAAGCCATGGCTCTACAAGGGCCAATTTGATGGCTGTCGGTTTTTGAAAAAGGCCTATATACCGCTTGTTATTTTCATTTTTAAGCTAATCAAGGATTACACCAACCTGAATCACCCCTGCCCGTATGTGGTAAGTACCTTATTAAATTCCTTGGGTAAATATTCAACTTTAAATTGAACACAGGGACAGGTATACATGAAGGATATGTATGTGCCCATGGATAATAATATACCGCATACTATGCCAACAGGCGACTATATGTTGAAAATGGTATGGATTCTCCATAAGAAGCCAACAGGAATATCAAAAGTATATGGCACATTTACTGAGGATATAATAGAACAATAAATCTTAACAAATAATGAAACAAAAATAATGTGTATGTTTGTGGAATAAAGCTTTTAAAATCATATTTTGTTTTTCCCTGTAAGCCGAGAGCCTCTAGTTATGTCCATAAGTCTGTTAAATTGTACTTAAATAGTTTTACAACTAATTTAAAAGAGTTTTAAATATCACAATTTAGTTGCTTAGATTTTTACATATCAAAATACCTACCATTATACGAATGATATATGACTTCATGGAGAAAAATTTACTATGAGCACGAATTTCTGCCCGAATCGAGAATCGAAATGGCGATTTGGTAACATTAATGCGTAATATTTTGAAATGTTAGTCCGTCTGATGGAACAAAGTTAAATCGAATAAAGCTTATAAAATAATATATATAAAATAATTTTTTACCTATAAGCCTAATTAGCAGCAACAGCCGCAAGTAGTTACTTATCTAAATTAGTCTGTTAAATTATGCTTTAATGGTTTTTTAACTAGTTTAAAAGTTTTGCAACTATTCCAATTCCCAGCACAAGTCGGTAATGGAAACAGGTCATCGAATTGGATTTGATAATAGTCTATTTTTTTTTTTTTTTGGAATATTAGTGCGTTTATTCAAGCGAATGGAAAAATATAAATTGAATATTCATGGGCACGTACTGAGCAGAAAATCAATTGCAATTCTTCGCCATGGGCATCAGGTTGCTCGTAATTGGGATGCTGCTTCCATTGCTGGCCTTAAGGCTGAGCTTGAATGTGAGCTATATTGAATTAATTTATTCAATTCTGTTTCCAAATTAAAGCTAATTGTATTTGATATTATTTGTGACTTGTAGGAAGCGGTTATATTTAAATTTACGAATGCGGTCTGTGAGAATCACAATAAGACCTGGATTACTGTGCACAAGTGTCGACTGCGGGCAATTAGTCGCAATAAGACGACATTTAACTTGAATTTAACCCTGAACTATCCTGTGGATCATCCCGTTAACGTTAAAGGTCAACTTCTGCAGAAGGCGAATGGCTACAAGCCTTGGCTCTTTTCCGCGAATATCGATGCGTGCCGCTTCATGAAACGGGCCTATAATCCAGTTGCCATTCTGGTATTCAAGCTCTTCAAGGAATACTCGAATTTCAATCACAGCTGCCCCTATGTCGTAAGTATTCGATTGAGTTCTCTTCGCCAGTTTTATTTCTTCTTTTTGTCTTATAGGGTCCGGTGATTATACAAGATTTTTACCTGCGTGTGGATAAAATACCGAATGCCATGCCCACTGGCGATTACCTATTGGTGCTGGCCTTTTCCTTTAGTAAGAAGCCACAGATAACAACAAAGGTATATTTCGCATTCGTAGAGGATCTTTTATGAGGTAAAAGTTTAAGTTTAACAATTGATTAAATAAAGCAAACGAAAGGAACTAATTCATTTCTTGCAATTAACCGGAATCTAATTACCTTGAGCCTTGTTTTACATATTTTAAATTTTCGCCAAACACAACTCGTTTATCTTCGTAAGCCAGGCGAAATCGCAATTATTGAAAATTTATCAATTAAATATTCGGTTTATAAAGCAATTTTAAAATATAGTATCTTTACGCTTGTGGTTAAGTACAATTGTAATTAGGAAACATATTGATTTGAAAATATTTTTAAATAATAAAAAAAGAGCTTCATATTTTAGGTTGTGCAGTCAAATCGACGTCATGCGCAGCGTTCTCTTCCTATTTGGATTGTATCTAACTCTAATGAGGCTCGGTTTTACTGTAAGTAGAGAGGAGTTTAATATATGTTATTGCAAATATTAACTGTTTTAGTTTTTAGCATGCGGCAGATTTCAAGTTCACGAATGTGATCTGCAAGTCGTACAATGAATCCTGGTTTCTGATACACAATTGCCGCCTGAAGGCAGTTAATCGCCACAAGACTTCGTATAACTTTAATGGCACAATTCTGTATCCCAGCAATCATATCATAATTAACATTCAATTGTTTAAAAAAGAAAGTGGCTACAAGCCCTGGCTGTATAAAATCACCTTTGATCTGTGCCGGTTCCTCAGAAAGGCTTACAATCCAGTTGCCATATTGGTTTTCAAATTGTTTAAGGACTATTCCAACTTTAATCATCCGTGTCCCTTTGTGGTAAGTCGCCAAGTAATTATATAATTGAAAGAACTCATAATTTTCTTGTTTTTTAGGGTAGACAACTTATCAATGATCTGCATCTAAACTACGAGGCTTTACCTTTGCCCATGCCAACTGGCGAATTTTTAATTGAAATCGATTGTTTCTTTGATCAGAAAATTCTGCTTTCAACAAAATTATACTTTCAAATACGCGAAGATTTTACAAGAAGTTGAATCGTTAAGAATATTTGCTAATAATAAAAGAAAAATTTGGATAAACGATATGTTGAGCTGCTTCGATCACAGGCACAGGGTATAGCCTGTTCTCTCATCTTATTACAGGGTACAACACTTGATGAACTTTGTATCAATTATGATATAATTGATATTCTTATTTGAATATCTTTGGTTATTTAAGAAGTATCTACATGGGAATATTTAAAACTGGACATATACTTTTATTGGTCTATGTCTATTTCGTATATAAAATGTTTTGTGCTGTTTGCTCGTTTAGTTATTATTAAATGCATTGAACTGAATAGTACTTCGAATTGTTTTAAATACATTGAAAATTAACAAATAAAAAGCCAAACAAATGAGCACCAGTTCAAAATGCTGGATTTTAATGTGAATAAAGTAAAAGGTAAAGCATATCCGACTACTGTGTTCTCTGAAAACTTAATGCGTTCATCTTGATTGAAAGTCTATAATACCCTCTCAATACATTTAAATCGGTAATGAGTATAACGAAACACAAATTTAATCACGATAGTTAAACTTTTTTGGAAATTACCGAGTTTGTTCGAGCGGACAAAATGTAATAATAAACCCATTTGATTTGTGCATGGCTATAAAATTTGAAACACAATCAAATCAAACTACTTCGCAATGGGCATCAGATTGATTGTTCTCGGTCTACTGCTAATATTTCTGGCTCTACATTTCTACTATAATGTAAGTGATATATGCCTAAGTTTACTATACATACTAATCTGATTCTCCTTAAAAGGAGGCTGTTAACTTCAAATTCACGAACTTGGTTTGTGGACATATCAACGAATCGTGGATTTCCGTACATCAATGTCGACTGCGAGCTCTCAGTCGGAATATGACAACCTTGAATATCAATTTATCTCTACTTTATTCCACTGGAAGAAATGTTCAGGTCAAAGGTCAACTCTTCCAGAAAGCAAGTGGCTACAAGCCCTGGCTCTATAAGGCAACCATCGACTGCTGTCGATTTGTGAAGAAACCCTATAATCCTCTGGCAATACTCGTCTATAAGATGTTCAGAGACTATTCAAATATTAACCACACTTGTCCCTTTGAGGTGAGTACTAAAATAACTCAGTTAGTTTTAATTGAAAGCTAACATTTCAGCTTCACAGGGCTTTATAATTGTAGATGGCTTTTATCTCAGATTGGAGAACCTGCCGCATGCCATACCAACGGGCGATTATCTACTAAAATTGGAATGGTTCTTCGATAGGAAGTTACAAATAACAACCGATGTTTATTTCGCATTCGCGGAGGACCTATAAAGTAGACCAGCGAATCCGGGAGGGTACTCTGGGAGCAGACCTTATTGAAAACCATATTATATCATATTTTAATATATCATTCGAGTATCTCGAAATAAGATATTTGTTAAGAGCAAATCACGATCAAAGAGGAAAATAATAAAGTTAACTTACTGATCGTATCTGTGTGAACGTTCCAGTTAATATTTAATGTAAGCTTCAATTGTTACAAGTACATTAAATATATACATTTTTGTTATGAACAATCAGCTTTAAACAAAGGGAGAATAAAGTTATTTAATAGTTAAAGAAATTCGTAAAAGAACATAAAATAGATTAGAGATATGCTCATAGCTGGGCGTGGTCCCAATGAGTTCCCAAAGGTATCCTGAAAAGGAGAATAAGAAAGTTCAGGCTAAAAACGTGGTACAAGCTCTTGTGATTTATGCATAAAACGCGAATAGAGGAAAATTGCTTTAATAAAAGCAATATTAGCAATACGTTCTATATCTCAATTAAAAGCCGACCGATAATTAAACTGTTTGTTAATTACCGAGTTTGCTCGAGCGGATAAAATGTAATAAAAAAGCCATTTGATTTTTGCATGGCAATCAAATTTGAAGCTCAAACCAAACGACATCGCAATGGCCATCAGACTGATCGTTCTTGGTCTATTGCCAATATTTCTGGCTCTAAATCTCTGCTATAACGTAAGTGAAAGTGGCTTATAATACAAAAACCTAATGTTATTCTCTTCAAAAGGAGGCTGTTAAGTTCAAATTCACGAATTTGGTTTGTGGACATATCAACGAATCGTGGATTGCCGTAAATCAGTGCCGACTGCGAGCTATCAGTCGGAATACGACCACCTTAAATTTAAATATAACTCTACTTTATTCCACTGGAAGAAATGTTCAGGTCAAAGGTCAGCTCTTCAAGAAAGCAAATGGCTACAAGCCCTGGCTTTATAAGGCAACCGTCGATGTCTGCCGATTTTTGAGCAAACCATATCATCCTATCGCAATACTCATCTATAAGATGGCCAAGAAAAATACAAACTTTAACCACACTTGCCCCTTTGAGGTGAGTATCAAATTAATTTAGTTATTTTTGCATGGAAGCTTACATTTCAGCTTCACAGGGCTTTATAGGTGTAGATGGCTTTTATCTCAAATTGGAGAACTTGCCGCATGCGATGCCAACGGGCGATTATCTACTGAAATTGGATTATTACTTGGATAGGAAGTTAACAATAAGATTCGATGTTTATTTTGCATTCGAGGAGGATTTATAAAGATTCGATGTCGCAACCATCTACACCAGGCGGGTACTCTTGAGGCCGATCTTACAAGAAGTGATTAATAATTTCAAGAAGTTAATCTCAATTATATTTTTATTATATCAGAGTTACTCGGAATAGGATGTTTCTTAAGAGAAAATCACGATCAAAGTGGACAATAATAAAGTTAAATGTTTTAGTTATTATTTAATGTAAGTTTCAATTGCTTCAATTATGTTATATATTGACATTATGTATATACACAATAAACTAGAAACAAAGGGAGAATAAAGTTATTCAAAAGTTAAAGAAATGTGTTTAAAATTATAGAATATTAAGTGGATTGCTTAGAGTGATGGATGTGATGGGAAATCAAAGCCAAGCTTTGTCCCTGCTCATAGCTGGGCTAAAAACGAGAAAGAGAAAGTTCAGTGGAGAAAACGTGGTACAAGCTCTTGTGATTAATGCATAATACGAGAAAAGAGGAATGTTGCTTTAATAAATGCAATATTAGTAATACGCATATCTCAATTAAAAGCCGACGATAATAAAGCTTTTTGCGAATTACTGAGGGTGTTCGAGCGGACAATTTGAGATTACAAAATCCATTTAATTTATTAATGGAAGTTATATTTAAAACGCAATCAAATCGAATTTCATCGCAATGGGCATCAGGCTGATCGTTCTTGGACTACTGCCAATATTCCTGGCTCTAAACCTTTGCTATAATGTAAGCGAGAGAGCCTTTTAAAGGATGCGAAACTAATCTGATTCTCTTTAAAGGAGGCTGTTGACTTCAAATTCACGAATTTGGTTTGTGGACATATCAACGAATCGTGGATTGTCGTAAATCAGTGCCGACTGCGGGCGCTCAGTCGGAATATGACAACGTTAAATGTAAATTTAACTCTTCTGCAACCGATTACTGGGAATGTTGATGTCAAGGGACAGCTCTTTAAGAGAGCAAATGGCTACAAGCCCTGGCTCTATAAGGCAACCATCGACGGCTGTCGATTTCTGAAGAAGCCCTATCATCCCCTCGCAATACTCGTCTACAAGGTTTTCAAAAACTATACAAACCTTAACCACACCTGTCCCTATGAGGTGAGCATAAGACTAATTTAGTTATCTTCTATGTTGAGCCTACATTTAATCTTGGTAGGGCTTGGTACTTATCAAGGACTTGTATCTCAGATTGGAAAACTTACCGCATGCTATACCAACGGGTGAATATCTACTGAGATTGGATTGGTGCATTAATAAGAATATACAAATAAGATCGGATGTTTATTTTGCATTCGTAGAGGACTTATAAATAAAATAATGAAGTAATGCAAATATATAAATGATGTGTGTCGAATAATTTTGAAAACTGAAGCTTGAGTTCGTTCAATTGTTTGCCCATTTGTAGAAGCAGGTATGGTATTCGGTTATTGTTAATAAATAA